AAAAAGAAACAGGTGTAAAATTTTTCAATGACAGAAATTTTTACTAACCATGTCAGGATAGTAAGGCTCATTTTTAGTATAAACCAAATGTTAGAAACTACTAACCATTGGTTAATGGGTTACCGTCAATTTCGAGCCCTGGGTTTGAATTATATAAGGTACCTGTATAACTGGACATTAATTTGGGCAATCAAAAAATCATATGGATACAGGATATTTAGACATGGATTCTGGTCAATTGAGTGTCAAAGGGGAAAACTCTTCTGATAAAAGGGGTTTAATAATCAATATAGAAGAATACAGAGCTAAAGAAAAAGACTCTCACAAGAAATTCTTTCCATTTTTTGTTAAAAAATGTAATATCGAGCGCCATAGATACAAGGGAAAGCCTTTCCTTTCCATCAAATACGTAAGTATTTGTTATTACGCGTTTACATGTACAACAAACTGGCAACAGAGAATTAAGGATATTAAGATACCGGAGAATAAGGAAAGGTACAAATGTACACAAAATATGCAGAGCTCCCAGGGGTCTCACAAATATCCCTGGCCTACTTACAGACATCACAATAACACAAGGATCCGTCTGTAAAATAATCATCAATAACTTGTCAAAAGTTGTAGCCTTACTGAAATGAAACTGGTGCGAAAAGATGCTTCCTTTACAGGAACGCGAATGCCTGATCGTAGAGATCAGTGCAGAGATGTACGCTTATGGCAGAGCTTCCCAATGCGCCAGTACTAGTGGAGCTTCAAAGCTAAAGACATATGGAAACCTATGGATCCGAGAAAATTTGGTTATGACATAAGCAAACGTCCAAACGCAGACTGTCCGTACAACCACTACATGTAAGCCGATGTCAATGTCACATTAGATCTTGCTCAAATATTGACACTAGCCTCGGTGTTTTATTTCTTCCGTTTTACCTTTGCAAAAAAAGCTAAAAAAAGAACCCGCAACTTTAATTCAAAACTTCAGACATTCAAGTCTGAAAAGCTTATTGTTAGCTTTCTCTGCAGTGCGTTAATTCTGGTTAATTGTTTGGAATTGATGTAAGTATACACTTTTCAGTAAATTTAATATTGTTTAATATTTCAAAACGCAGAAAATTTTTCTTTGGTTTAATTTACCAATTTTGGCATTAAAAGTAGTGTTTTTCATTGGCCAGTAGGCTACTGAGAAACTTATTTATGTAAGCCCGTAAAACGTAAATCTCTAGAACAACTACTAGGTGATTGTTTGCAGTTTTCTGAGGGTTTAAAATTTTACCTTGTGCTTTTTAATTTTGAGGGGATATTCAAATAAAGTTACACTTGACCGGTTCAATTGCTTTGCAAAAATCTGTGAATTCATTTTTGCCTGCATTGTATCAGAACTCACCCAGTCTGGGGAAAAAACTGAGAGAATAACATTCCAACATGCTCTCTGCATATTTCAAGAAGAAGCATAATAAGAATAGATTAAATTGAGATGGCAATTTGAGTTAAAAAAGTACATGTTTTGATCATCGAGGAAACGGACAAATAAGTGAAAATTGTGATTGCATGATCAGCATGTGCAACTACACAAACTTGATGTAAACAAAGGTCACAAATGTTGCTTTGAATAACTGTTGCATATTTGCCCCCGAAAAATTTACATTTCAATCAACTGTTCTGTCCTTCGTTTGAACAATATTTTAGCCCTTTCTTTGTTTTCTATTTCAAACCCAATAATATGCAATTTCAGGTTCGGTATAACAGAAGACTTTGAGCTCGATCCCCGGGGGGTACTCTTGGGAATTCCTGGCCTTTAAGAAGTTACGTCATCATTACTTAGATTAGAACAGCAAATTTCTTGCTGTTATAAACATAACAATCAATTAGTGATCAGAATTAAAAATATTTAACATTAATAGTGTGCCGTAGTCTGAAAACCAGCTTGCTGAGCCATTTACCGTGTTTAAATAAAGTTGATTGATTGATTGATTGATTGAACAGCAACAAAAAAGAATTCTTAAAATCCATTTTGAATTCACATATTTCTCTTTGACTTTGACAACTTGGAATTGAAACAATAAATATGTTCGTACACTCCGGTAGTTCCCTTGAAAACCATACCCGTTTGCAGACCAAAAGGAGCAAAGTCTATAACCGTTTTCAGCCTAAAACGGTGCAGAAATCCTATCCTTTGGGGCCGCACCTACCTAGATGGCACTTCAGATGTGTTTGCCGGGTATTTTTTTTCTTAATCAACTGAAACCCTTCCTCAAATGGCTAATGAAATGCTCCAAATGTTAAGTAGGGATTTAAATATTTCTTTTTTCATAGTTTAAAGTTAAAAGTTTGTTGCTTTTATTCGAAGTATATCAACGGAAGCTTCGCTTTTAGCCCTAACTAAATTATAAGCTAAATGCAAAGTTCACGTGCGCTACTACAACCAGCCAAGTAGTAAGCCCTGATTGTCTGACTACAACCTAGAGCGATAACAGTAAAATAGTAGTTAATGGCCTGAGCTATAAAAACTCAGAAAGAAACGTATGTACTTACTGTTTTCAATGAAAGCGACTCAGCAAGACGGAGAAACGACACAGCCGCCATCTTGGAAACATTTCCCAGAAATCAGTTCGGAGTCCGTCAGTATAAAGGATGGACTGTGGATTGCGGACTGCGGACTACGGAGTGCGGACTGTGTATAAAACGGCCGGGGGACCAAGTATAAAACGCGGGCTACGACAAAGAGCTATGATTTAAAAAACTGAGCTAAGTGTTTTTAGGTAAGGTAAAAATAAGGTCATTATATCGCTAAATAACACCAAACGTGGTTTAAAGTTATAAATAAAAACAGCATATTTTGCTTGAGTACCCCTCTATTGATACTGATCAGATTTATTTATTTTATTTTATTTTTTATTTTATTAGCTTCGCCCAAGAAAAAACAAAACAAAAAACAAAAATATACGACGTAATTAAAGGGACAGTGTCCCGATTGTGCCCACGCGCGAGCGTCATCTGTTTTTTTCTTCAAAAGACAATAGAACTGTCATATTGACTCGACAAGATTTCCTTCCGGACCGCACCGCCGACAGAGATTTGTTGTTTACATTCTCAAGTAATATTCTAAACTTTCGAAGAAGTTTTTCGTCTTATTAAAAAATTTGGATCGCGGCACGAAGACTCATCGCGATTTCGTCGCTAGCAGGGACGCCTTGCGACCCAAAAATCTCGTTCCGCTCGCTTTAAAAACAGCTTTTCTAATGTGAGACTCCTGTCAGAGGAGGTCAATTGTTCCAAGTCCAGTTATATTTGCCTGATTTGCTGGCGTTCTAGCCTCAAACATTTGAAAGATATAAATAAAAATGCAATCTCAACGCGATGAATTATCGCAAAGGTTAGTCAAAACTGTATATTATCATTTCATTGCACTTTTTTTCTAAACATGTAGCCCCTGTTTGTTTGATTTTGTCGGCCGTAGGGAAGTTCAATTAAAAGTTTACTAACGCGTCGTTGCAAAACAGTCTGCTTCACGAAGCTTAATTTCACAAGATCTCCTCACTCACATCCACGTCGACGTCTCAATGGTTTCTTTCTTACAGTGTCTATTGTTGCTGTTTCATTTCTGCGTATTCCTTTCACAATTAAAAGCGCTTCCCATCTTTTGGTCCTCCGGCCAACGGCAATAAAAGTATCGCCAAAAACATCCCGATTTCACCTAAATCGAAACTCAACGGGAACAATATATCATTGATCTGTAATCCTGAAAAGTTTTAGTGTAGTATCGAACTCGGCCAAGTGCGATGCAAACGGATTTTTCAAGGTTCTCTTACTCTCCTCCCATCTTTTGATTTCGGGACATCCTGTCCAAAATCAACGTTTGGTGCATGCGCAGTAACGGGATACTGTTCCTTTAAACTGAAGAAGGGGGACGGCAGGGACACCACAACAGCTGAGGCCAATTGCAGGCATGCCCGCGTAGAATAAAAGCTAAAAAAAGAGTGTGAAATGTTAAGAATGACAAAATACAAGAAAAGAGACTAACTACATACAACAAACGATCGGACGAGATAGTAGACTGACACTATTACATTTTAAACAAACAGTCTTAAACGTACGCGGGTCATCGCAGTCAAAAGAAGTGGCTAACGAGGTTTTGTAATAATTGAACAAAACCGATTTAAATGAAGTTAGGGACACTTAACTAAAATCAAATTCGTCAGCGAGACAGTTCCAAATTCTTCAGGCTTTAACGAGAAAAGATTTAATTCTTGTAAGTAGTCGTCTTGCATTTCATGTTAGATATGTATTATACTGTTTTTCATATACATGTACTATAAATTTCTGAGAAAAGCCCTTCCCTTTTTAAGCCTCTTCATATATAGCACTCTTACCCTCCTTCAAGCCAAAAAAGAGGAAACTAGTTCCTGTTGTAAGCTCCGGTGTGATAAAAGCTGCATTTAGTACCTCAACTTCTCGTTCCAGTCTCTCTTACAACGCCTAACAATCTATCCCTCTTAATTGCTAGAAATCTGAACTCGCAGGGTACTTTTTTCTTTGCATATTGTCTCTCAGTTGCTACATTCTTATAGCCGGTTAGGAGTAACGAAATGGACTGCGGTTATTCCCCAGTTTAACTCTGATATTTTAAGTAAAAACACGTTTTATATCTCGTTTGCTGCAATTTATTAAAATGTTCTCCTTAGTGCTTCAAAATTTTTATGAAGGTATAAATACTAACATCACAGCTACAACCAATCTTAAGACAAAAAGAACAATTGAGTAGAAAACCGAAAGTTTAAATTCGCCAATTAATGAGAAAAAGTTCTGTATAGAATCCTCTTGAAAACGCCAAATATGTCTAGAAGTTGCTTATTTTTAATCCTAGCGTTTGCGAATTGTACTAATACAAGTGGTCAACAGCTAGCTGTGTATTAACAGAGTTGAAATTTTCTGCGCTTCCAGCTTTCCAATGACAACTTCCTAAAGAAAAAGCAGCTTATGAAATCGGGAATGTCTGCCTTGTCTCATGCTTCTTGGAATGCCAGGAATACCAGTGCGCATGTCAACAACACAATACCGCTGATCTTGGTTGCTGAGCCAGCGTTGCAGAGATCTTTATCGCAACAAGTGACCTCGCATTCCGCCCCTGAAATGCCTTTTGTTCTTTTGCATACTGGGTTATTTTCCTTGTCGCAGAAGTCTTCGATTGAACAAGACCTGGCATAGACTGTCGTTTCGCCATATTTAGCATAACCTTTCAAGCACTGATCGAGGCCAGAAGGACAGGTCACTTCTTTGTTAGTACACTTATCCCAGGACTCTGCACTGTTGCATTCGTTGCATTTCAGACTTATCACTAAGGAAAACAGAACAAAAACATAATGCCCCTAATCTTTAAGAAAGAACGCATTCATGTTTCCAGAACAGTTATCTACATCATTGTAAAAAAGCACACATACACACATAACTACGAACAACAAAGTCAGTCCCAGTTTAAATACCTTATTCCTGAACTTTTAACGCGTTTAGTTTCCAATAAAAGATGTTTCACGTTATAATACTTAAAGTAATAATAATAATTTAAAAAAAACATGGTTTGACAACAAAAACAGGTAAAACTATAACAAAATAAGATCGAGATGATGAAGTAAGATTCAGTTAACCACAAAAAAGTAATTGTGAAAATGACTTGACTCCGACGAGTTTGTTCAATTTAACAAGCTGGGGGCTTTACCGAACAAGGTAGGATTTTATCGGCTGGTTTTTAACGTTATTTATTGGCCCGTAAGATGCTTGATGGGTCTCAGTCGGGGATTGTCTGTCTTTACCTTGAAACTCTCAACGATTCAGCTCCCTGGATTGCTTTGACTCTCCTTTACGTGTCGATGGGCGACTTTACTAATCATTTTTCATCCCTTTATTATGGCCAATACTTTTAATTTCTTCCTCAGCCATAAAAGCGTTGATGCTTTCAATTTCTAGTAAACAACGACGTAGTCGGCACCACAATAATTCCTGTATAAACTATAACCCCTATATCTAGGTGTGACAACTAAAAATAGTTTTCCTTTCCTTCTAATTCAGAGATTTCAATCTAATAAGTGGCTCGTTTACTGTAATCTCGTATTTTCCTTTGTTTTGTTCCCTTGCAGCCATTTAGTTTTTGGTACGTAAATAAAGTTTATAATTATTTTTTGCACCTGTCAAGCATGTTAGGAGTTGCTTGTCCTTTCTGTACTTCTCATTTATTTTTGTTTCGTAACTTAACAAAGACAGGAAAACAATGTAACAGCTGCGAAATGGAAATGTTAAAGTGGCATTTCCCCCACCTATATTCTCTTCTCTGTTTTCTAGCTGTGTTCCTTTGCGAGGTTGCGGTGATGAAGTCAGTTAGTTAACGTATTTTAAGAATTAAAGCAATTAAAGATTGCAGCCTTGGCTGTCTATTGTAACCCTCTCTAGTTTAAATGAGGCATCGTGTTTGTGCTAAAAAACAATAAAACTTAATTAGCGTGTCGACTTTTCACTTCACAGCTTTCAAAACACACATCTTATTTTATGAGTTTGGTAGCCAGGCAGCAACAAGTAAAAAACGGACAGAAATGACCAACATTATAACTGAAATTTATGATTATCAACATTTTGACTAGTTCTCCAAAATGCACTCGGGGTGTTGTTATACTAGGAAATTATCCCTCATGACTGGGCAAGAGGGATGAAGTCTTTTTCAATTGCATGGATTTAGTGACTTCGTTGTTTTTGCGTTGTTTTTATTTAGTATTTTCTTGATCAAATTTGAAAAAAGCAATATATACACACTCGAAAAAGACGAATTTTCTGCTGGGCTGCCTAACAGGTGAAAATTGAACTAGCACCTTCAGTTTTCTTATTTTTACATAAGCTCGGATTCCTTTGTTCTTTTCGGAATCAACTGTCTGAAAAGCTGGGTGCGGCTTTGATTGTTTGAAGGGAAGAGCGGGGCTAATGAACAGCTAATTTAAATGTGAGGGGATTATGTATTAATATGCAAGGGGGATAAGTGTCTTGGGGTTTTTGGAATATTTTTAACCCTTTTCCGTTGTTGTTTTGCGCACAAAATTGAATCCCGTCGTCGTCTGCTGAAAACCATGGCCATTTTCTTAAATTTTGTTCTTAAAACAGCTCTAATCTGATTGGTTCTTGGTGGTTTCTTTTGTTTTTTTAGCCAATCAGAAACCATTTATAATTTGCACTCGAGTTACAAGTTTTGCACTCGTGTTACCGAAGAACTGCACTCCTTTCTCAGCCGATCAAAATTGAGTAATTTTTTTGTGTATATTGTTAATGTAATAAGTTAAACGAAATAACTCCAAAGAAAAAGTTCTTATAAGAACCTGAGAAAACAAACTTCAAAATCTTCAAATTTCTCTTACACATGAAAATTAACGCATACATACGATGCCTTCGGGTCTTAAACAAGACGCGAATTTCATTTATAAGAAGTTCATCTCGTCTTAGCTTGTCTTATCTAAGAACAGGTGTTCAGGGCTGTTCTTAGATAAGACGCGTCTTATTTTAGACGAAATGCGCCGTTTATGCGGGACGTTTGCGTCTTATTGAAGATAAATGGCCCTAATGAGCTTTTTTGAGGGTTTTAAGCCAGTGACAAGACCTTTTTCCTTTACAAATGTTTCCTCCCGTTCATCATCATCATCAAAATGAGGGTTGCGTGAGCCATCTGCATAATTTGTTTTTATGCACTTTACCATCACCTGTTTAATTTCTCACGTGTAAGTGAGCAAACCAAGTGCCTGCTTTGCTCACTGCGGGTATTTAAGAGGCTGTCCGCGTAAGAACCGATAAGGCAAATTTCGGTCTACCCCGGATTGCCCTGATTTTTTCAGTGGACGATAACTATCCAATCACATGAAGAAATATCACATTTATTTGGACCAACACAATTTTTTCTCTATTTTACAGGAAGATTTTCTCGGTCACCTAAAACTAGCCAGTTTGCCGTCGGAAGTGGTGCGATTTTGGTGAAACTTTAGGGCTCTGTCAAACCTACCTTACATAGCCGAATAAACTGATTATTTTTCACACAAAAGTTTTAACTCTGATTAATAGTTTCAAGGTTTAATGGTTGCATTCTGTGGAAAGTTGGCTGAGATATGATTTTTTTAAAATGACCTTTAATTTGCTCAGCAGGAAAAGTAATTTGCATAACTAGAGCTGAACGGTAATTTCGCAAAAGTGGCACCTGACCCAGACTCAAGTCTATGATAAATCAGAAGTACTAAGACCAGTCTACTTCTTAACGCAATAAAATTTGTGGGCACTCTTCTTTGCGTGCCGTGCAAAGTTCCGTTAATGTTCCAAAATTCGCCATTTTGACAGCAAAGCTGGAATTGTAACGCGTCCGCATCTGATCGACTAATTTCCACAGCTTTAACATTTCTAGTTATCACTAAATGTCATTAGACCCTTTAAATGTTGGACGTTTGAAAACATGTGGAGAAAACTTAGTAATCGCTTTTCCTTCGGGTCTTTTTCTTGTCGACGATGAACGTTACGTCATTCTCCGTATGCAAATTAGCCTTAGATGCGTTGTTTTAACAAATTGACAGGAAATATAATCCTTACATTTCACATTTCTAAGGGGAAAAATAACTCTCCTTTCCACAGAAAAACACAAACCATGACTTAGAATCGCCTTAAGGTCTGTTTTTTTTTCCTTTTTAACGAGGAAGAAGCAGCTGAATGATATATCATGTAAATATGTTTGCGTGGCTTAAAATAATTCAATTACTGTGGCCTGTCACGCATTCCTTAGTGGAGTGGTCGATTGGAAAACAATAGCGTTTTGTCGATCAATTCTACAACATTATCATCTTTTTTTTTAAAATGATAGTTATTGATAATGATAAAAAATAAGAGTTCACTTACAAGGTAAGTCCTCTTGTCAGCACACGAAAATTTTTGGGCACTCTTTTTTGCGTGCCTTAAAAAATAGCGTTAACGTCGAAAGCTTTATAATGATATTTGCTTATCAGGAGAAGGCAGATCTTTGTACATGGCACTATGATAAAAAAAAAAATGCCCCACACTTTTTCTATCTTAAATTAGCAGTAAATTTCAGTTCCATTCAAAGATCTTTAAAGCGTTTATCGGCAGCAGAATGAAACGGGAAAAATAGTTCCCTTTTTCAGTGAATAAACGCAAAAGGGAGTATCTTTCTAGTTTTTGTTATGGTATAACATCCGAATTCCAACGATGATCTTGTTCTGGTTTCAATCTGATTGAATTATAATGCTACAGTTTCAAATATAGTTATGTCAATGAAATCGCCGAAGAGATCAATTGTGAAAAATGGCTTTTTCGGCTATTTCATCAAGCAGTTCTTCCGCGAGATAGTAGACAGAGTGAGGTCGCAGTAGGGGTGTGGAGGAAAATGTGTTGGTCACAGAGTGCATGGATGATATTACGTCGCACTTAGCTAGCTGTCACTTGTCTAAGTTTAGCAAGTGTAGCAAAGACAATGAAAATGAACTCATTTTAGCGAGAGTACGTATTCGAGGCTTGGTGGGTATTCGGAACTGAAATGACAATCTGCCCAAGGCACAGAAACCTACTTGGCAGGTTTTTGCGAGCACCAAGGTCTTATTAGGCTCGATTGTAAGCCGCTGTTCTGGAAAATGAGCCCCTAACGGACGGGGAGACGGCGGAAATCGAGCCTAAGGTCTTGTCAATACTCCGGTCACACTCTGGATCATACTGGCAAAATAACTTCTGTGGCAGGAAGACATGTCGTAAATTTCCAGATAGCCAGCGAAATAAGTCAAAGTTTTGTTCCATCACGTAAGTAACATTCTTTTTTCTTCTTCATGCCAAAAAGTTTCTTAACGTACAGAGATATTCTAATTTCTCTATTTAACATTTTATCTTGAGATGTTTTCTGAAGTTCGTTTCCAGTTTATTTGAGCTTGCAAAGATAGTTTAGACGACTAAGGACGAGTGAGGTTTTTGTTATTTCTATTTTTTTGACAGCCGTGTATCTTGCCCTAATCAATTCTTACCTTTAAAATACTATACATACCGGTTAATCCGTGTGTTGTAAAAGATAGTTTTCTGATGATTGTTTGAAGAGCATTATAAATGGGAAAAAAAGAACTTTCTACACGGAGTCAGGATTCAACCTCGAGCTTTCCCGCCCCTGCCATTTTCTAAGAAGAATGTCCTGGGGACGAGGCTAGGAGTGATTGTGGTCGAGGTGTCGTTCACGTGTATGAAAGGTATTTCATTCTTGCAATAAAAATAATTTTTTTTGAACTTAAACAGTGTTTAAAACATGTCTCTGATTTTGTAAAAATTAGTGAGACTTAAAAGTACCTTAGTGTTC